TTTTTTTGGGTTTTTTTTTTTTTTTTTTTTTTTTTTACTCTCTTGGCCATCTCAGGGAATATATGTATTGACTGTCATACTTTACAGTATGACTATCGTCATTTCTAGCTTCGACATGCTCTAACTTTAGTAACAAACATTTTAAAAGTACACCCGCAAAATCAAAGGACCTCTTAGTACACTGATAAAAACTCTTTCCTGTTATGTGTTCCTTCTATGTTATTATGTAAGGAACTTACATAATAAGTAAACAAAGAAAAGTTTAAGTTTTGCATCTTTGCTAACACCTGCAGCAGGTTTTCATGCATAAGCACAGGAGTGCAAGAGGGGAAAAGGGAACGGAGAGAGACTTAAGACATCTGTTGCGTTCATGAATATTTTGTGCAGCTTTTCTGGACAAAGAAATGTGTAGACGGTTGGTCTACTAAGAAATTTATAGTATGCACCACTGCTTTAGAAGTTCGGCTTGGAGCTATGCTGAGTCAGGAACATGTCAAAAGAAACACCCAGTTTTATATAAGTCATAAACTGTTTCCTCAGGTAGAACATTATATGATTAGAGAAAAAAAGAACACCTAGCCATTAAGTGCATAGTGAAGGTATTAAGGTACTTAATTATATTGGTCACAGACCATCATTCCATAGCTTGGATAAATCAAATCAAAGACAAACATGCCAGACTCACCAGATTGTACATGCCACTACAGTCTTTCCAATTTTCACTACGTTATTTGAATTAATTACTTTTATGCTGACTACTTATCACTGAATAAGGCCAGCAGAAAACATATTTAGGTATTTTCTCCATAAAATTCTACTATGTAAAAATGCTTATTAACAAAAACAAGTCAGCTCACAACATTGACTCCTTATGATTGCAGAATCGTATCAGTGACATAGGATTAGAAACAGACACCAGCTGATAATGTTAAAATTTTGTTCTAAGAACTTGGGGAATATCAAACTACATAGTCTTAATAATGGCTCGATCAGCACAAATCGGATTAACGAGTATGGAAATAAGCGTTCAAACCAAAAAAAAAAAAAAAAAGACGAGAAGACAATTCAATGAAGGTAAGTCACAGACAAACACCAAGGATATAACACTGTCACATCCATTTTTTGTCACCATATTCTATCTTCAATTTTGTCTTCAACCATGATGTTATATCCTATCTGTGCATTTCCCAAACAGCAGGCAGCTAACATGAACCACCTTAGTTATGCACCACACCTTGCAAAATATTCTGTAGAGTACTAACAGTGAGCCTTAAAATATGTTTTCTCTTCCTCCACAGGGAGCCTTTTACATATTTTTCCATGCTTCATGTCATCTCTGATACTCCTCCAACCACTGGACAGTTCTATAGTATTTGCTTTCATTTTTTTCTGACCGAAGTAATGATTTTTCCCCCTCACTCTAAACACCGGATGAAAGATTTATTTCCTCCTGTACTGCACTGTACTATGTTTTTTTCCAGAGTGTTTCTTCTTTACACTTGCTTTGGCTTATGTACCTAACTTTCAGTCTGCTTATTCACATTTAAGCCTTCCTTGTTTTAAATAAAATGAAAAGAAATCTTAATATTTCAAATTGAGAGTCTTCCTTTTGACAAAGCAGACAAACTGACAAAAAACAAAAAAGTTGCTTCATCTTCTGGACAGGGAAAAAAGAAGAAGGTTGCTGTAAAAATTTACTAAGAAAAGCAAGAGTCCAGAATGAAAGGGTATATTCAGTAAAAAGAACAACAAAAAAAACCTCTGTTTGTAAACATTTGCTGATAGAAAACAGGTAAGGGAAATACAAGAATCAGTTCTGCAGAACTGCTATAAATTCTAACTTACAAATCCTACTATTTGTATTTAAAGAGATTTTACAGGTATAATATGTAAATCATAGATTGCCATAGAACCAACCTATTAGTAAGACCTAAAGATTATTTTACACGATCCCAGGCAAAATTTGTACATTTAAAAGGAAAAGGTCAAAATTTAACCAAAGTTTCCTTAAGTAAATTTAGAAAATATCCATCAGAAAACATCCAGAATGACCCAATAGTACTTGGTAGTCAGTCATTAGTGACATAAAGAGATCAGCTCCACTATATGTATTATTCATTTTTTTCTTTCATTGTATCATTTGATTATAAATAAAAACCTAACAGCTATTTTTGGATCCATTTAGCCCAGCAACCTGTTTCCAACATTTGTCAAAATTCTGCTCTGCATCCACTTATGTTGCAAGAACTTTCAAGCTACTGTTTTTCAAGGGTTTAATATTAGTGTCTGCTCTCCAAGTAATAAAAGGCTTTTAAATCTCAACTTCTGAAGGGCTTAACTCACCTCTGAAAAAGAAAATCAATGAGATTTGTGAGCATTAAGCACCTCAAAGCCGAGTCCTTTAGTCTGCAATTCTAAAAGATAAATGTGCTCTTTATATAGTACCCAACTACTTCAGTTTATCAGCAATTTAAAGATAGAAGTGCAATGTGAAATTCAATTAAAAAATACAAGTCTGATTTTT